TTTCTTTTTCTTTTGCTTTCTTCTGTGAGCAATTTGACAGTGTTCTATGTCGCGTGACAACCATTGCTCATTGCATGTTTCTCTTGGCATTCTTGAAATTTTATTGGGAGGTCTTGATTTGGAAGGTTTTTGGATAGGGTTGGAAAGAAAGGATGGCATGAAGGCTCAAAGTAGACTCAAAATGAGGGGTTGTAGACTTACAACTCTTGGAACCGACTCTTTCAAAAGTGAAATAAAATCTTTGCCTCAATTTCAGATACCGAATTTTTTTTGATTTTTCTTTTTTTTTTTTGAATTCTTACTTGGTTGGACCGAACCGTGAGGCTGCCTATGTATCCTTTTTTTAAGGAATCAGGTCGAACGTAGTTCAAAACATCAGATCTAACTAAAAAATTTCATCTTTCTTTCTGTTTTTTCTTCTTCTTTTTTTCTTCCTTTTGTCTTTTTTTTGTTGTTTTCAAAACAAGTTGCCCCAGCTTCTATTTTCTGGGTGCATGGACCTTTGCCAATTTTTTCTTCTTCATTTTGTTTTTCACTTGAACTTTCTAAGAATTGCCCCAGTTTGAACTCTTGGGACATGAACTTTTTTTTTCTTTTTCTTTTTCTTTTCATTTTTTTGTGTTTTTTACTCTTGACTCTAAACTTGATTCCAAAAGAGGGTGGTCAAAGAAAATAACACAGGCTTAAAGGGGTAGCTAAGGATATAAAGTTTTTGGATAGCAGAAAAAGGGTCTCCCTGCCTCAAGAACGCCAAACATATTATCCTTTTGCGATCACAACATTGATGAACATTCCTATCTTCTTGGTGTGTCGTGGTCGAAAGACACTTTCCATCCATTAATGTCAAGCTCTCGACCAAGCTTCAATTGATTAAACATCCTCAACCCTGATTTTCACAATGATTTGAAGGTGAATTTTACTCGACCTTAATTCCAAAGTATTTCAACCCTTTTTCATCCTCAAAAGTGTCTTTTCCTCAATTATCCAATTCAAGCTTAAATCAATTTTCTATGATCTGACCAAAAATTCCGCTTGCATGTCATATCACTAAAACTAGCGGGAAAAGAACTAAGCATGGGATGACACAAAAGGACAAACTATATTTTATTGAGTAAACAACAATACAAACAACCTAAAATCCGAGTTACAGCCCTAAAACAACTCGGCGAATGAAAATAGCAACAAAACATGCAAACAAGACTCACACGAACAGAATAGAGAGATAGAAGGGTTTGACTCAATAAAACAAATAAAATCTGGATCACAACCCTGAAATAACCCAGATAACAGAAAAAACATCAAAACAAGCTACTAAGATTCCTTCCTAGTGAGGAGGGAATGACTTTTCAATTGCTAGGCTTGACATTTAGTCACAAATTTTCTCATCAGAATCAGCAGAGCCTTCTCCAATTTCAAAATCATTAACTTCAGTCAGCAAGTTCCCGAGAGGATTCTCATACTCCCTATCACCACACATCATCCCACAAAGTGTGCATCATCATATGCAGGTAAAGGATTTTGCACGATATTCTGGGTGTCACTATCTTGGATCACAATCAGATTTTCCTGGATCATCCTTTCTATTTCTCTTTTCAAATCCCGACAGCTTTCAACATTGTGCCCCTATGCATTGGAATGGTATTCATGCCTTTTAGAAGGGTCAAAGCTTTTTGCACGGGGGTCCACATAATTTGGAGGAATAGGTGCAATCATGTCATAATGATTTAATTTCTCAAACAAGTTTGCATAGGACTCTCCTATTGGTGTAAAATTATATTTCCACCTCTGTACCCCTTTATACCAGATAAGTTAGGATTTTAAAGTATTTATGTCCCTACTTGCCTATGCTTTGAGTATAAATTGATACAAAAACAGTCACAAAATGCTCACAAATTGTGCTTGATTGCAGGGTTGATTGACAAAGTGACGAAATGTCAAAGATCGGCTCAAAAAGGAGTGAAACCTGCTCAAGTATCAAAGACCAAAAGAAGTGAAGAAAAAGGGGCCTAGTGCGGACCGCGTAACAATGCCCGCGGCCGCACTAGGAGGTTCAGAGACTGGACATTTTCAAGCTTAAGGTCACGCGGCCGCGGTAGGATTCACGCGGCCCGCGGAGAAGCTTCGCGGCCACACTCCTGCTCTGTGCGGTCTGCGTTCATAGGGTTCAGCAAAGGGCATTTGTCCTCATGCGGTCCGCGATCACGTTTGCGCGGACCGCGCCAGTTGCCTTCGCGGCCGCGGTACACTCCCACGCGGTCCGTATCCCCCAGTTCAAGTCATCAAACAACTGAAACCCAAGAGCCAGTGCGGCCGCGGTCCATTTTGTGCAGCCCGCACTGACCCCGCAGGGGTATTTTTGTCCAGTTTTTTCAGCCTAGTATAAATAGAATATTTTACTATTTTTTTAGGAGGAAGGTCAGATATGAGAACAGAAGAACAGCTGCGCTTGGTGTTGTAGCCATTTTTGGCATATTTGATTCCCATTAACAATAGATTATTGTATTTTCTTCTTAGTAATTAATTAATATGTGTAGTTCTTCCTGTGACATCTTTCGGGCAGGCTTCTCAATGTTTGCAGGAAGATCAAACAAGTACAAGTGGTACTCAGGAGAGTGGTACTGCTCTTGCTGGGTAGCAAATTGTGACTCATGACAAGGCTGTCCTTGGCCATTGGCTCATGCTTGACACATTTTGGTATTTGCTGTTTCAGTATTCTATTTTCCTCAACAACAGTAGACTCTTGTTGAACTCTCTAACTCTGAGTCTCTTGAGCACTTGTAACAACTTTGATGTCAGTTGCCATATTTTCCTTTGGATTTCGTGTTGTCAGCTTACCACAAACCGACCATCTCAAACTTTCTTCACAATTCAAAACAAAAGACACGTTAGAATGGACTCAGTCGGTCCTTATTATTATCATCACTTTTTTTCATTTTTTCATTTTTCTTTGTAATGGTTGATCGAACCTGATGTGGGTTGCCTACGTATCATGTGGGAACATGAATCAGATCTTGCGTAGTTCGGGAAGATTAGGAATAAAGGAAATAAACTAAATCTTTTTTTTTGGATTTTGAATTTTCTTTTTTTTTTCGAAAGAAAGACTTATAAAGAAGAAAGAAAATATTTTTTAATTTTGATTTTTTTTTTGGAATTTCGAAAGAAAAACTTCTAAAGAAGACACAAAATATCTTTGGATTTTTGGACTTTTATGTTAAAATTATGAAAGAAAGACTTCTAAAGAAAATATTTTTGAGTCTTAAATTTTCTTTTCAATTATCGAAAGAAAAAAAATGAAAAATATATTTTTGGATTTTTAGAAGAAATTAACAAAAAATATTTTTGTATTTTTTTTTAAAAAGATGGGATCTTAAAGAGAGATTTTTCTAAAGAAGGAAGTAAATGGAAATATTTTTGGATTTTTGAAACTTGGGGTCTTAAAGAAAGACTTTTCTAAAGAAGGAAGTAATGAAAATATTTTTGGATTTTTTTTTTAGAAAATTGGGGCCGGAACCGATGAGGTTTGCCTACGTATCTCACATCCGGTGAGAATCAGACCCGGGTAGTTCGGCCAGTTTTGATGCAACAGGAAAATGTGACTTATTTTGAAATGACTTTTCCCCTTCTTCCTTTTTTCAAAATTTTGGCAGAGTTTTCGGATATTTCAAATACCTTTCTCTCACTCCTTTTTTTCGTTTTTCCTTTCTTTTATTTCCCTATTCTAGAAGCCAGTCGACAGGCAAGTCGAAACAAACAAATGCGCAAGTAGCACGTAAGATGCATCAGGATGGTCTTTTTAATTTGGGTACACCTGTCCTAGACGGACCCAACCCCTGTGTTGAGTTCCCAAAGTCAAATACACGTGATGCAAACAAGCGCTCCTACTAGGGATCCGGTATGAGGCTATGTTATTCTAGGTTTAAAACCTGGGTGTATTGTTCTAGACCTGGCTTACCCGAGCGGACAACTCGAGCCAGGGGGGAGGCAGCCTACCAGCAATACAGAAGCTTCATCGGTTTTGCAACTTATCCGAACCTCGTTCTAAAATTGGGATATGACTCTAACAGAAAAGAAGTCACACGAAGTGCACGCTTCACAGATGATTTAGAAAACTCAGAGAGAAGAGGGTTTCGTAACAGTTTATATACAGTCCAAGTAATATCAAAGCGGTAAAAACCAATATTTAGCACATTAGGCTCAAACACGTAAAATCAAACAATAAATAAAAGCCAACTATAACAGCTATTCTAAGATCGAATTTTGAACCCTGAACTAGAAGTTCTGGGTTTTTTTCCACAGCAGAGTCGCTAGAGTTATCACACCTTCTTTCTCTACCCGAAAGGGGTATAAGGGAGTTTTTCCAATTTAAGTGACATAATCGAAATGAGATTATTTTATTTATTCAGAGTTGCCACTTGGAATAGTTTATGGTGTCCCAAGTCATCGGTTTATTTTAAATACCAAATCGAGGAAATTGACTCTTTTTTATGGCCCGCGAATACAGAAGACCGGGTAAGGAATTCTATTAACCCGAAAAAATGTGTTAGGCATTCTCGGGTTCCATGATTTTAGCACGGTCGCTCAACTATTAATAATTGGCCTCATTATCTGATTTATCACATATTTTAAACCTATTGTGCATTTTTAACTTTATAACCGCTTTTATTTATGGATTTATTTCTGCAACAAACCACGATTGTCGTACACTTGATGTTTTGGTACACATTGCAAACCGCGTCACATGAAATGCACCCGCGATTTACAACATGTTCATTTTTATTATTATTCGAAATTATGGTCGGGTCACATGAAATGCACACCCGAATTTGAGAATTACGTATCACAACTACGTCACGGGAACCGTACCCGTATTTATGATAATTTATTATAACGCGCCTAAAGCAAACTACGAAAGTTCAAGGTTATTCTTAAAACTAATTTAAAATTTAGTGTGAGGCTATGAATTAGGGATATGAAATATAGAAAAATGGGTCAACTTAACGGAGCACCAAATCCATTCACATCTTCATTTTTTGTAAATTTCTCAAATCTAATTCCCACATTATTAGGGAATAGTGTTAAACAAATAGTAATTCAAGTTACGACTCAATTGAATAAAATGACATGGTAAAATAAATAATTCAAAACTTGAACGGCAAGCACATCCGATGTAAAACCCAGAACGTCATTCCAACATTTACTTTAATGTCATTTTTAACCCAAACCATTGTTTCAGCTTTAATCCATTCCCTTATCAACTCATGAACCATAAATTACTTTAGGCATCTTGTATCTTAATTCCAAATTCATCAGTCCAATGTACTAATAAAATGAGAGCACTACAAAGGCAAACAAGGAAAATTAAATTAAAAGCTATGACAAAACTCAATGCAGATTCCTTCAAACCACAAGCACTAAATAGAACACAAAGATATCAAGTATTAATTAAAGAAAGGAGTGGGAAAAGGACCTCAAAGAGAGCTTTGTCAATTTAGCAATGTTGTATGAATAGAAACCCGGGCAGAAAAAATCCTTGGACGTAGAGACCTCGACGAACTCAAACTCGACCGTAACGAACCTCAAACCGGCAACCAAAATCAGCGGACTTCTAAACCTCAAGCAAATACCATGATTTTTAATACCAAAACCGAAATCAAAATGAAGAAGTAGAAACTCTTTTTATATATATTTTTTGTAATTTTAAGAAAACTAAAATCTGAGTCTGCAACTACAGAATATCTTTTGTTTTTGATCCCCTGTTTTCCCTTCTTTTCTCGTCACTCTCTATCCCTGTTTTGTGATCGTTCGTTGCTGCTCTCTCACGCCGCTTCTGCTAGTTTCCAGCAGCGGGTGGTTTTCGGGGGAGGTGTTAGGTTGTTGTGACGTGAGGAAGAAAGAGATGGGGTGTATTGGGGAGATGGTTGGTGGTTGGAGGGAGGTCGTGTGTGGCTGGTGAGGGGTCCCGTCGATGGTTGTGTTGTGTCTATAGAAGAATAAGGGTTGTTGGTTATGAGATGAAAAGGTAGGAATGGATTAGAGGGGTCCTCAAGGTTAGAGATCGCCGTTGTTGATGAAGCTTCTGGTCCCTTCTTTGGTTGCTTAGGTCTTAGTCCTTTTCTTAGGCTGTGAAAATGTGTATATGATGAAAGGGAACGGCTGGTTCCTTTTATGTGTCTCTAGGTTAGGGATTTTTGTGACAACCTATCCGGTCGTCTTAAGAATTTACGCCTCGATCCCCTATTAACTGCTTTCCCCAAGTTTATTTCTGCTAATTTGATTTGCCGGGATGTTCGGTTTTGAGTTTCGGAGAGTTTTGGGACACTTAGTCCCTAAATGAGAGCTTAAGTGTTGGAAAGTTGACCATAGTCGGAACAGTGTAAAGACGGCCTCGGAATGGAAATCTGATAGTTTTGTTAGCTCCGTTGGGTGATTTCAGTCTTAGGGCGTGTTCGGATTGCGTTTTGGAGGTCCGTAGCTAATTTAGGCTTGAAATGCCGAAAATTGAATTTTTCAAGTTTTCGGTTCGATATCGAGATTTTGATCCGAGGGTCGGAATGGAATTCCGGAAGTTGGAGTAGCTCCGTAGTGCTAAATGTGATGTGTGTGCAAAATTTCAAACCATTCGGACGAGGTTTGGTAGACTTTTTGATCGAAAGCGTATTTTTTGAGTTTTTGGAATTCTTAGGCTTGAATCCGATGAGAAATAGGTGTTTTGATGTTGTTTTGTGCGTTATGAAGGTTGGAAAAAGTTCGAATGAGGTTATAGGATATGTTGGTATGTTTGGTTGAGGTCCCAGGGGCCTCAGGTGAGTTTCGGGTGGTCAATCGGACCATTTCATGAAGTTTGGAGTTGCAGAATTGCAGGTTCAGCTGTTGCAGATATTTACTCTTCGCGTTCGCGAGTAGACCCTCGCATTCATGAAGAGTCAGTGGAAGATGGTGAAATTTTATCCTTCGCATTCACGAGGAAGGCTCCGCGTTCGCGAAGGGATGGATGTTCGTGCATCGCGTTCGCGAAAAGGGCAAAGCGTTCGCGAAGGGTAAGTCTGAGGAATCATCGCATTCGCGAGTGTCTTTGTTGCGTTCGTGTAAGAGGATTTTTGGTCAAAGGCATTTTTTGTGCTTCGCGAACGCGAGACGTTGACCGCGTTCACGAAGAAGGAAACACCTGTGAGATTTTTAAAACCCAAAATCGAGGGTTTGAGCCATAATTCATATTTTGGACTTGGGAGCTCGGGAGATTGCGATTTTTGAAGAGATTTTCACCTGGGCGATTTGGGTAAGTGATTCCTACTCAGTTTATACTAATTTCCATGAATCTACACTTAAATCCATCCTTTAATTTCGAAATTTTGGTGGAAATTGGGGGAAAAATTCTTAGACCAAGAAATTGAGTTTTGATTAGGGATTTGACATCGTATTGGGATAATTTTGATATGGTTAGACTCGTGAGAGTGTGAGGATTCTGAAAATATAAATTTTATCTGATTCCGAGATGTGGGCCTGAGGGGCATTTTGGTCATTTTACATAATTTCGCTTATTAGCTTAGAATTTAATTGTAGAATCAGCTACTTGAAGTGTTATTTATATTATGCAATTGAATTGAATAGAGTTGGGTCATTTGGAGTCGAGTACTCGTGGCAAGAGCGTTGTTACGGGTTGATTTTTGAGCCGATTCGAGGTAAGTGGCTTGTCTAACCTTGTGTGGGGGACCTTCCCCTTAGGATATGATATATTTGAGCCGATTCGAGCGTGTACTTGAGATAATTGTTGAAAATACGGTTTTTCCTTAAGTATTTCAATTGAGTTCTTTTTCATGTTTTATTCTACTTGTGAATTTAGCATGTTGCCAGTTTAGAAAAACATGTTTAGTTGACTTAATTGCCTATTTGCTTAAACTGCCTTAATTGCATTACGTGAAGTATGTTAGGCTAGAATTTGTTGTTTACTTGGTACGAAATTTAGCTTAATTGGGTATTCTTGTGTTGTTGCTGTGTGTTTTTACTTTGGGACTACGGGTCGGCATCCCGGGAGATCCCCTGTATGTATTTATGATCTGAACCAAGGTGCGGGATACCAAGAATCCCTAGCATATATTGAGGATACCAAGGGATCCTCGGGATACCGAGAGATCCCTAGCATATATTGAGGATACCAAGAGATCCTCGGGATACCGAGAGATCCCTAGCATATATTGAGGATACCAAGAGATCCCTAGCATATATTGAGGATACCAAGAGATCCTCGGGATACCAAGAGATCCCTAGCACATATTTAGGATACCAAGAGATCCTCGGGATACCAAGAGATCCCCATTTATCATCCTTGTTATGAGTGGTACTTCCTTGTGGTTTGTCTTCATCTCTGTTTCCGTTATTGTACTCTTATTATCCTGTATAGATTTTTATTGTAGATTCTCAATTGTACTGCTTATCTTATCCTGTCATCTTTATATTTATTTAATCTCAGTAGGGCCCTGACTTTCCTTGTCACTACCCAACCGAGGTTAGGCTTGACACTTACTGAGTACCGCTGTGGTGTACTCATGCCTCTTCTGCGCATGTTTTTCATGTGCAGATCCAGGTACCGCTACTCAGTCCTATCATCTTTGAGGAGGCGACTGCTCTAGAGACTTCGAGGTACATTTGCCACGTCCGCAGACTGAGAAGTCCTTTTCTATTCCTGCTTTAGTATTTAGCCCTTCTGCATTTTTCTGTTCTTATTAGACATTCCGGAGTTAGAGTTATGTAGTATTGATATTAGCTTATGATTCGTGGGTTTTCGGGTCTTGGATTTATGTTTTGGTATTGAGAGTTGAATATGGTGTTTGCCGAGTGGCACATTTAAACACTATTATTACTTTATTACTGTTTAAAGTTGTTTTATTTCCGCAAATTTTGGTTTTTTTCCGCAATTTAGGTTTACCTAGTCGTGGAGACTAGGTGCCGTCACGATGGTTCACGGAGGGTGAACCGGGGTCGTGACAATTTTAGGGTGGGCTTGGGGATTATGGGCTTAGGAATTATGGGCTAGATCCGAATTGGGGCAAATTTTGGCCAAATTTGCCTTTAAAAGTGGCTCTTTAACTCTACTAGACTAAAAAAAATATTAATTCCTAAAATAATAACTATAAAATTGTGAAATTATTCCTAATTAAAATAAATTACTAGAATAAAACTAAATACTAAAAGTAAAATTATCTTTGTATATTTTTTAATTTTATGAAAGGTAGATAAACTAAATGTAACTAAATAAAATATCAATTAATTAAATAAGAGAAATATTTTTGTAGTTTTTATTTTTGTGATAAAATAAAGTAAAAGGGTCAAAACTAGTTAAAATAACGATATTAGACCTAAACTAACTATTTAAATGCTAAAAATATGTAAAATCTTGGTGATGGTCAAAAATCACATGTCTACAATATGACCCTTTCTCGGTGACAGTTGAAACCCAGTAAGGGCCTTCCCATTTCAGACATAGCTTTCCTGCATTGAGTTCCCGGGTGTTCTGAGTTACTTTCCTTAAAACCAAGTCTCCTACTTTGAAATAATGAAGGTTGGCTCTTTGATTGTAATATCTTTCCATTATCTGCTTTTAGGCTGCCATCCTTATATGTGCCAAGTCCATGCGTTTGTCGAGCAGCTTCAATTTGACCAATAATACTTTGTTGTTTGTTTCTTCATCTGCCCGGAAGTATCTCAGGGTAGGTTCTCCTACTTCGACCAGGATCAAGGCTTGTACTCCGTACACGAGAGAGAAAAAAGTCTCCCCCGTGCTTGATTTTGTCGTTGTTCGATACGCCTACAGTACTCCTAGTAGATCTTCGGGCCATTTGCCTTTGGCTGCTTCTAATCTCTTTTTGAGATTTTGGATAATCACCTTGTTTGTTGATTCTGCTTAACCGTTTGCACTCGGGTGATAAGGTGATGATGTGATTCTTTCTATTTTAGGATCTTCAAGGAATTTTGTGACCTTTGCGCCTATAAATTGTGGCCATTATCGCATGCTAATCTCTTTTGATATCCCGAATCTGCAAATTATATTCTCCCATAAGATATCTACCACTTCGCGCTTGCCAATTTTCTAGTAAGTACCTGCTTCAAGCCTTCAACCTACTCAGAAAAATAGTCAACTAAAATCAAAAGAAAGCTTACCTTACCGGGGGACGGGTGTAGCAGACCGACATATCCATTCCCCACTTCATTAATGGCCAGGGTGACAAAATCGAGTGCAATAACTCTGCCGGTTGATGTACCAACGGTGCGTGGCATTGCATTTCTGAACATAAGCCTTAGCGTCTTTTTCCATCCGGGGCCAATAGTATCCTGCCCTAATTAGCCTTAATACTAAGGAATCCGCGCCCGAGTGATTTCCATAGAACCCTTCGTGGACTTCTCTCATGACATAGTTAGCCTTGGAAGCTCCCAAACATCGGGCCAACAGGCCTTAGAAAGATCTTTTATACAATTGACTTCCCTTGAAGTTGTATCGAGTTGCTTTAGTGCATAGCGCCCGAGATGCCTTGGGACCTTCTGGTAGTTTTTCGTGCTTGAGATCGTCAATGATCTCATTTCTCCAGTCCTAGGCCAAATTGGTCACATTTACTTCGTAATAGATGTCTACGTCCAATACTGAATGCATGAGCTGCACGACCGTACCGGAGCTCGTCCTTTCATTTCCATGGACGATCCTAGATTGGCTAATGCATATGCTTTCGTATTTTCTGCCCTCGGGATGTGCGTAAATGACCATTCTTTGAACGGTGCGAGCATAGCTTGGACTTTCACTACATATTATTGCATGTGTTCCTCTTTGTCTTTGAGGATCTTGTAGACCTGATTTAGTACCAATTGAGAATCACATTTGATTTTTATGACCTCGGAGACCAGTCCCCGGGCTAGCTCAAGTCCTGCAATCAAAGCTTCATACTCGACTTCTTGTTAGTCAGAGGTACAGATCTTATGGCTTGTCTTAGGGTCTTCCCCGAAGGCGTGATTAGCACTACGCCAAGCCTGGACCCTTTCACATTGGAAGCTCTATCCGTGAACAAGGTCTAAACTTTTGATGCCGATTCCGACACCATCACTGCTTCTTTAATAGCCAAAG